CCAAATCAAGAATTGATTGCTATTGGTGTAACAAATATATTTGGACCATTTTTTGGTGCCTATCCAGCGACAGGTTCATTTTCACGAACAGCCATTAAGTCTAAAGCAGGTGTACGAACACCGCTAGCTGGTGTAGTTAGTGGTGCATTAATTATTCTAGGTATTTATGTTTTACCAGCAATGTTCTATTGGATTTCACAAGCTAGTCTAGCAGCAGTTATTATTCATGCTGTTGGTGATCTTATTGCTGGACCACAAACATTAAAAGCTTTTTGGCAAGTAAGTCCAATTGAATTTTTTATCTTTTGGATTGGAGTTATTGTAACAATATTTTCTTCGATTGAAATCGGTATTTATACAACAATTATTTCTTCTGGTGTTCTACTACTTTTTCGTATTGCTAAAGCTCGTGGTCAATTTGTTGGTCGAGTTCAAGTTGAACAAGTTAAATTATCAATTAATAATTATATTCATTTAACAACTCGAAATATTTATGTACCACTTGATCATTCCGATGGATCAAATCCAACAATTATTCCTGTATCATCTGGTAACGGTATCTTTATCTATAGATTGAATGAAAGTTTTCTCTATCCAAATGCCAATCATTATGTTGAACTTATGGTTGAACAAATTTTTCGTGAAACAAAACCAGGTAAAGCTAATCTATATGGTTCACTTGGTGAACAACCGTGGAATTTGAAGACAAGTCGACATCCAGAAAGGAATCAACAGAAAGATGATCAACGTCCATATTTACATGCCTTAATTTTAGACTTTAGTGGTGTTGCTCATTTAGATACAACTGGTCTACAAACTCTTATTGATGTTCGTCGACAATTAGATCATTATGCAGATAAAAAAGTTGATTGGCACTTTGTCGGTTTATCACGTCCTTGGTTAAAACGTGCACTTATTTCAGCTGGATTTGGTTCATCTGAACAAGGACATTCAGTTTTTTCTGTAGCAAATGTACATGGCAATATTGATGGTGATGAAAACAATGCATCTGTTGTACTTGTTCCCATTCTAGATATTAATCGACCACTCTTTCATACTGATCTTGATGAAGCCTACGAATCAGCTATTGCCAGTTTACCTCAGAAAGATAAATCTGTCGTTTTTGATAATGGTGTGGCATAATCTAATTTCTTTCTTGATGCCTTCTTCAATCTATTGTACAAGATGAAAGTGATAAAGACATTTGTATATACATTTATTTATTATTTAATAAATTGCTATTTGATACATCTTAAGATTAGATCATATAATTCTTGCTAGTTAGGAGTATTTGGAAGCTCTCATAAAGGGAAGGTTAACATTATTGAACTTTCTATAGGTTTTTTAATATGAATATGAGGCTATTTATGAATCTATTAAAATGAAAAGTATATGGGAAATTGTTGACCTTCTTTTAAGTTATCATGATAATAATCAATGTGTGTGACTATATCTAGAGATTTATACTTTGGAATTTCATAAGTATTCTATTAAAGATAATTTATAGTAACATCCACTAATACATGTTTCAATTAAAGTTGAGATAACATTAGTTTTAAAAGAAACTAGGCCTATTCCAATTTCTTTTGATCAACTGTTGATGTAAAAAAGATTCACTTTACTGTATCAGAAAAAAACGTTTTTATTGCACGAAATACATTTTTATGTAATGATACAAAACTATAAAATCATTGAGTGTTAAAAATCTATTTTGTTACAATTGGATAATTCAATGTTAGAGACTAAAAGAAATATTGATATTTTATTTTTACAAAAAAAAACTACATTGAAGACAACTTAATAATATAAAATATGATTAAAATATATTATAGGGAGTACATATCAATACTTATGAATATTTGTCTCTTCTTATTAAGTAAAGATGTTAGCAGAGGCGAACACAATCATTGGCACTGAACAATCCGATAAAAACCTGCCAAGGCAATGAACAAGTAGTTAAGTTAACTTTGAGTTCCCTTGTGTTGCCTGATTCTCCTTTTGTTAAACGTATTATTTTTTCATCACAATCAACTAGAAATTCGTATGTTACATTTGTTTGAAAATAATGATTATGTCCGGTAAAGCAAACAAGGACGTTATGATTGAGATATTTCTGAGTTACAGGGTTAATGCCACGTCCATGCATATTATAATTAACCGGTGCCATGTAAATTGAATCTGTAGGTGTATTTTTTGATATGATACCACAAGAAAAACTAGGAGGATTATTCAATCCTTCAATTTTAAAATGAAATCGATGTTTTCCCAATGAATATTCCCCTCTACATCGTACTGCAGCATGGCCATTTGTTAGAAGATGCACTGCAACCTTTCCATCTTCAATAATTTGAATATCGCCCACGGTTTGATGAAACATGTCAGTTGATGCATCATTGATAAAAATTTTTGAAACCAATGCATTTTTATTATTGTCTTCACTGAAATCGATCGTTTGAAATGCATTCAAATCAACTTTTAATTTGTCAAGTTTTTCCATCCATTCTTTCAAATCTGTTTCAACATAATCATCTGCCTTATGAGCTTCGCTTAACTTTTCTGTAAGACATGTCAAATCATGTATTACTTGTGTTCTATGCATTTCAAGAATAGTTATAACTTGTTTACGAGCATCATCAGCTGCTCGATGAATTTTATTAATTGATTCTTGTTCCCATTCATTGATCTTTTGTATAAGAGGATGACAATTTGGTTGTGCTTCTTGTTCGACAATTGTTTGTTGTAATTGATCATGATTAGTAGTGAGTTCATCCATTTGTTTATTAAGTTCTTGTCGATGTTCAGCTACATGACGATAACAAAAATCTTTTTGACATCCACGACAAGTAAATATGCCAGCTGCTTTTTCACATATCGAGCATAGTGTCTTTCTTTCTGCTGCGTTTGCCATATCTAAAAGACATTGTTATTAATTGCAATATGTATATATTTCTTATGACAATTTAGAAAACATTGTATGGATTCATAGAGAGATCATGAGATACCTAGACTTACTTACGTAACAAAAGAATAACATTTTATATTAATAATAATGTCAAAGTTCTGAAAAGCTATACGTATAACTTGTGCTCTAAAAAACAATACTTTTGTAGAACTTCTAATAATATTTTAATGTATATAATTAAAAACTTATGATGTATCTTATATTGAATGATATAATGTTAGCGCATTGAATAAAATAGGTCTAGAGAGTATTATATTGACTTTTTATCAAATTCAAATAAAATTCTATTGTACGTCTATTAAAATTAAACTCTTAGAAGTAAACTTTTCGAACGTATTTGTCTCGTTGCCATTCAATGTGTATATACATTTCTGTTCTTATAAATAAATAAATTAATTGTCAGATTCAATTTTTTTTCTCTAGTCAGATACTTTTAAACTAGTGTTCTTTTTTTTTGTAAATAGAAGTTACTCTGAATGACTTCATATGTGTATAATCACAATATTCTATTATATCTAAGTTTCAGTGTATTTATCTAATTTATTTAAGTAAATAAACGATGAGTAGTTAAAACTATAAAAATAGAAATAAAATCAACAATAACACCAACAAATAAGTCATTAAAGTTCATATATATAGGGTTGAGCGAGAACGAATGATGACAAGGTAAAAGAAAAAGAAAAGACAAAAAATAATGGTAATATTCCATCTTGTCAGAACAACAGATGGCACTGTCTTTTTACAAAACGACGGTATGAGAATAGAATTAAAAACTACCGCTGTTTCTTTTTGCATCAACTATTTCAAATAAACGTTGATTTCGTTAAAATCTTAATTATATCTTTAGTGTAGATGATACTTCAACATGTCTTCACCTCTCGATTGATCTGTTTATGAAGAGTATTAATTTTTTTTCGTTTGTTATTGTGAACAATTAACAGTCTTTTTAACTTAAATTTTTGTCTATCTTTTAAAGTTTGAGAGAAACCAAGTAAATCCATATTCTTATATAGCCTATAAAAATACGGAAAAACACGGATAAAATTGTATAGCAGTTATAACATGTTGTTCCGATTTCAAAAAGAGTTTTACGTTGTTTCAAGGAATGATATTTTTCGAACTTCACATAATGATTTAATTGTAGTTTAATATTCAAAAGTATTATAAAAGTTTATTTCATAATAAATATGAAGCAAAAACAAACCAATGATTTGTTAGAAATAATGAAGCATGAATATTAGAAGTCTATTTGGTTGAAACTATTGACAGGCACATTTCCTTCGCAAATACGAATACGATTATTGGCATAGTAAAGTATGACGAAATATTGCCAAGGAAACGGACATGTATTCAAGCTTACATTGAGTTCTTGTTTCTGTTGTGTTCGCTGATTACTTAAACGTATTTTTCGTCGATCACAATCGATAAGAAGCTCAGGAATATCGTTTTGTGAATAGTTATAATTGAAACCAGAAAAATAAAGAAGTCCATTTTCATTGAGAATGTTATAAGGGCCCGTTTTTATAGATCTAGATCTAGACATATTACTATTCACTGCGACATTTATAAGTGCCTGTAGAGGCGTAGTTTTTGATAAAATACCACACGAAAAAGTGTTCATATCAGATAGTTGCTTAATTTTAAAATAAAACTGATGTTGTCCTCATGAATATTCACCTGTGCCATATGCTGCAGCATTCTGATGGGTTTGACCATGAACAACGACTCTACCATTTTCTATAATTTGGATATCGCCAATGATTCGTGAGAAAAAGTCAGTTGAAATTTCTTTAATAGAAATCTTTGAAATCAATGCACTGTCCTTATTGTCTGTACCAAAATCAATCGATTGAGCTCCATTCAAATCTTTTTGTAACTCACTTAATCTTTTCATCCATTCTTTCAAATCTATTTCTACATAGTCATCTTGATTACGTGCTTCGCTCATTTCTTGAATAAGATGAGTTAAATCATTTGACACTTTACTTCTTTGTGTGGCAAGAATAGTTAATAATTGTTTGGGAGCATCATCAGCTGCTCAATGCATTTTATTGATTGATTCTTGTTCCCATTCATTGATCTTTTGTATAAGAGGATGACAATTTGGTTGTGCTTCTTGTTCGACAATTGTTTGTTGTAATTGATCATGATTAGTAGTGAGTTCATCCATTTGTTTATTAAGTTCTTGTCGATGTTCAGCTACATGACGATAACAAAAATCTTTTTGACATCCGAAGCAAGTAAATATGCCCGCTGCTTTGTCGCATTTTGAGCAGGGCCGTTTCTTTCGTGTTGTAGAGGCCATGTATCGATGCTTCTATGGTAAATTAAGATTTGATATGAGTTTTGATAAAAGCAAAAAGAAGATTTTCTTGAATAAAAGAAAAACTATGTTAACTTAGGAGTAGTTGCGAAAAAAGATGGTGAAGTCTCGAGATATTGAATTTTTGAGCGATATAATTGATAAGGATTCTGCCATTTTTTTATCTTGTTCTTTGAGTGCTTTTTGCTAATGATTATATTGCGCATGTGTTTGTATATGACAAATATTAATAAAGATATGAAGAAGTGAAATATACACAGGAGCGAATACTTTCGTGAAAAAAAAACGTTTCAATCGTCTTATCAATTTTTTTCTTTTCTTGCATGAGTTTGTTTTAAAATGAATTATCGAAACCGCCACAGAGTAAGTTTTCGACAAAATGAAGAATTCACGATGGGGTAGTACCTGAGAATTCTCTGAGTTTTTGATCATTTTTGTTACGTATTTTCTCCGAGAGAATGATTGTGAACTTTCAAAATAAAGAAGTTTTCACTTTATACTCTTTTAATCATTGTGTGTTAGTGATTTCTATTACAACTTAAAAAATTTCAGAAATTTTCTTCAATTCAATATAAAATATATTGATACTCTAAATAGAGCTTGGCTTTATTCTTTTGACATTTTGTTAGCAAAATGTCAGTCGAGCGCGTTTTATGCAGCAATAATTGAATGCCTTGATATTTTCTCCAGTAATAGAGCTCATAAAGTTCTATTGTCTAATGTGCACTCCACACTTTTGATCCATACAAAAAAGCAGTTGCTTTCAATGGAAGATCGTCTTTTTCTATCGTTCATAAGATATTTTTGAAGTTTGCTGTTGATGTGGATATGAGTATGAATGTCAGAGAGTAAAGTGTGCCAATGATTGTCGCTGCGGACAGGAGCTGCATATTCACACTCACACTCACACTATCAAACTCTTTTGAATGCAATTTAATTAACTATGCAGAAATATACACGTTTAGTGACCTGAATATAGAAATATGCCTTCCATTGAAGTGGAGTTTTCAGTAAAGTGCCTATGCGTGTTGATGAGCGGATGAGTGTGGTATGGGTTATAGATAGTGGACGTGTTTGTGCGTGTGGGTTTTCCACCCATGCACACACCCGACTTCACCCACACCCTTACTTCATGTGCGTGCATGAGCATCAAGCTCACCACGGTTTCACCAGAGTGATTCCTGGTCGTACATGAGCGAGAAAAGAATAAAGATTTCTTTCATCAATTCAATGTGATTTATTTGAAGAAAAGTAGAATGACATTAATCGTCGTTTCAAGTCCATTCAATAGAAAAACGTTGAACTCGATTATTCCGCCGATCGGTCACATAGAGATTGCCTTGCTGATCGAAGGACAAACCCACGGGTTCGTGCAGCTGATTGGTTCCTTTTCCTAGACCAGTGCCACCTACGATGACAGTGCCCTGCTTTGCTCCTTTAGGCCAACGCATCACTCGATTATTCGATGAGTCTGCCACATAGATAGTACCCAACATATCAACGAACAATCCGTGAGGATACGACAATTGCGCCAGAGAATCTTCGAGGCCTTGACCACCAGCGACAACGATCCCTTCTTTTGCATCTTTACTCCATTTCACAACACGATGATTGTAGTTGTCTGATACGTAGACAGTCTGTTCGCGATCAACGAAGAGATATGTCGGAAAGTTGAGTTGACGGAGATTATTACCTTTGCCATTGCCACCAGCAACAACAGTTCCATTTTTGTCTCCTATTTGATATCGTCTTACTTCATGTGTATCAGTATTTGAGATGTAGATATATCTATGATCATCCATGGTCAATCCAAAACACTTGGTGTTATCGATGAGGATTTCTCCTTGAGGGGTATTCCCACAACAAGACCATCGTACGACTCGCTGATTTCCACGATCACAAATAATGAGACTATCCGTCTCTTTGTCGACTAATACATCGGCTGGACAATTCAGTTGATCCAATTGATTTCCTTCGCCATGGCCACCAGCTACCACTTTTCCATTCGTATGATCCATCTTCCATTTGATGATACGATTATTCTGCGTGTCAGCGACGAAGATCGTTTGATCATCACCAACAAAGAGACCACGAGGATAGTTGAGCTGATTGGTGGGATTACCGACTCCATGACCTCCAGCGACGGTCACTCCGTTCTGTGCCCATCGAGCATTGACTAAAACGTTGGAAACTACTACAATAAATGAAAAAGCAAAACAATCGTGATCGTCGTCAAAGACAAAATGCTCTCTCTCGCAATAGCAAGAGCTACGGATACGACATTCTTCTTCTTCGTAGGGCATTCGGTAGAACTTTCTAAAATGCTTTTTACACAGATAAAAATACAAAATCTTTTTGTTAATTTCCTATAAACAACGAGGTTTCCATAACGATTCTTACATTTAAATCATTTCTGCTTGTTACCAAGACTTTTAAGATGTTAAAAAGTAGAATCTTCACTGCGGATGAAAACTGCACCTGGATATTGCGGTAAGAAGGTTTATTGAGACAGAGTAATGCTAATACAGTGTAAACTTTCGATAGAAAAACATGAGTATCTGAGGATTTTATTCGTAATTTCGAATGCATAATGTTAGCGAGATTTTCAGAGAGGATGCTAGCAAGCTAAAATGCTTGAAGAATTTATATAAACAGCAGATAAAGATTTAAACAATAAAATAGTCAACTCTGTCAGACTCCGAAACCGAAAACTTCTGAGGAGATTCTATCTGTATCTTTTTGTGAGGTTCTTACATTCTGGGACAACAAATGTTAAATATTTCAGGGAACCTTAAGGATTCAGTATGTATCTTTGAGGATGATTTTCATGTGGTTTGTTAAAATTTCTGATCACATGATTTTCTGGTTGATGAATACGTATGTGTCAAAAGTTCTTCTAAATATTCACATACAGGATGCAGATTAGATTTCATTGAATTTTTGCCAAATAATGTCAAGTTCTTCGAAGGATGCTTCTGATAGTGTCTTAATAAGATCATCAGAAGGTTTGTACGTATGTGAAACTGAGAAAACTTGACAGAACTCCACGAAGATCTTTGCAATCTGATGCCTTCTACTTCTGAAATGCTGAGCAGACTAATGCTAATTCTATTCAAGCTTTCCACAGAATACGACAAAAATTTAGTTAGTTTTCTACAAGCATGAGATGAGGATACTCTTTGTAAGTTGGAAAGCAGGGTCTTACTCAGACAACTAGAAATGGTTTTGTTAAGCTATTATGAAGTTGCTGAAAAAATCTGCTACAAAGAATTGTCACGAAACTGAGAAATGTTCAGACTTTATCCGCGTCTTGCTAGAATGCTGATTTTAAATATTTGAGCTAATATCAAGATCTTGTTAGGAGAGCTTCAAAATGGGGAATTTTTGATCCTTACAAATAAATTTCAAACGTATTCCGTATGTATTTGGGTACTCTAGAGGATAGATGTGGGTGAGTGTGAGCGTTTCTATCTTTTACTTGCACTTACACCAACACAATATTCATGCGCACCTTATAAACATGCAATGGTGTTACCATTTTGTAACAAATGACTTATTAGGTGGATACTGATTTGTAAGAGTGCATATCAAACTTGAATTGCAAGAGAGTTTAAAATTTGATAGACATTTCTATACCAAGAAAATTCAAGCAATAAGTCATTTGTTACAAGATGGTAAACAGATTGGCATAGGGTTCGTTCGGAAATCACAACAAATTAAGAAAGACAACATATTTAATTTAGCAAAAAGTTGGAAAATATTTTACAAAGCAAAGTCTTAATTTAACGAAGAATATATTTTGTTTACATGATAGCAATGAACATGCTGGATTACTTTTTCAACCTAAATATCAACATGTGAAAATGAAAAACAGTTGAATATATTGTTCAGAAAAAAAAATAAAAACTGATCAACGTGAACACTTTAAAAATCATGTTCCTGTACATCAGCTAAACGTGATCTATGGAATATGTTGTTGTCCTCTCTACGTATATATTGCAGATTCTATAATAATAATATAAATAGAATGATTTTTTTATACATTTGGGATCATTTAAAATTTTTTTTGTACTATTCAATTATATAAAGTGCAACAGACATATGAGAAATATATATTTGTAAAACCTGAACTTTTATCCAAAACTGATTATGCTCTTAGTTGACATCATTATTAACAAAGTACGTTATTAGAACACCTATTAAAATAAAAGGCAGTAGAAAAGGTTATGGCTATGAGTGCTGGAGTCATGTCTTAACCCATACCAAATATTGTATTAACTTAAGAGTAGCTACAATGCTCTTGTATTAAAACTGTAAACGAAAAGTGTTGAAATTAGTTAAGAATATCAAATTCGTTTTAGTATCACATTAATCAATACAAATTACGATGCTTTTGTCTTAAGGTCGTTACATAAATGTATTACTATTAGCATTAAGTTAATGCGATAGTAATGCTAAGCTGAAACCCCAGTTCTATTGTTTGTTTTTCTTATCAAATTCAAACAAGAGACATTGATCAAGGTCATCACACCTATTTGACAAACTTCATCATCGGAATCAGATAATATAGAACTCATTACTTAAAATTTTGCTTTAATACGCCAAAAAACAAGAAAAAGACATAACGGTACAATGCTTCGATAATCATTTAACTCCTTTTTAATTCTACTCCGTTCATTTGGACGTAGATCTATAGAGAAAAACTCTGAAAACCACTTTGTACAGCCATTGGCAGTTTTTTCATTATTTTTAACTTTCAAAGCCTGAAAAAAACGTTCTACTTCACGACCGAAATTCGAAAACCTGATTTTTAGGTTTGAAGACTATAAAACGTTATCATACTTGTAGGCATCTCCGATATCTAATTTTGTAGAAGAAGATGAGAACTATCGTCTGAAAATAGATATTTCAAAAGGCATGAATGAAATACAGTATGACGATTATTTTATTTATCTCGAGTGAATATTTTCATCGTACATTTT